TGCAGCTCCGAGCTGCCCCGCTGGCCGGAGCCAGGTTGGGGAGAGCCGCACTGGCAGTTGTGAGGAGACTGGGTCCATCCGCCTGGCCTGGGCGGGGGGCTGCTTGGGTCCCGCACCAGGGCAGGTGGAAGGTTTGCCACAGCTCGCCAGCGCAGCTCTCCCTATATAACCAGAGCTGAAGCGATCCTTTGGAGAAGATCCTGGTAAGATTTAAAATCCGCTAAGAGGGGAGACGAGGAATCTGGGACTCCTGGATCTGCCTGAGGTGGCGGGGGGAGGGGCGCTGCTATAGCCAAGGTGGTCTCATGAGAGAGTGGTTGTTGCTCTGGCAAAGTCTCCTCCAGGAGCTGTGGCTCGAGAAGATGGACACTCTCCTACAGCCCTGCGGGGGCTACTCTAGAAGCTGATCCCTCTGAGGGTAGGCAGGTCTACTTGCAGACTGGGGTGGAGTCCTAGCTCTGTGTGAGTAGAAAGTTCTCCACAAGTCACAAGAAGGAACAGGGCGTAGGAGGCCAATATAGTTTGTAATTGTTATAAGAATGGGAACCCTCTTGGTACCAACGTCTTCCCTCTGCAGGGAGCTTAGAGGACCTGCAAGATTTCTTCCACTGTGGAGGAGACGAGATGTGGAAAGATGCCACACTGGAACCTAAAGAGCTCTCTGGATAGTCTGTGAGCATGGGCGTAAGCCACCGAGGTGGGGTCACAGGATATCCTGACTTACCCATAAACCAACAAGAAAAGTGCAAAGTCAGTCCTTAGGATGGGAGGGTTGTTGGTACCGGACATATTGCCAAAAAGTCCAGAAAATCGCTGCCTGTCGGTGCTGAAGAGCATGACTGAGTCTGTGCAGGCTCAGAGGGGAGTCTAAGGCCCCTGGCACCAAGGTGAGGATGTAGACAGTGCCACAGAGGAGGAGTGCACCAATACCAAACCCACAGTCACCTGTGCTGAAGACACCATCTGTTTCATCACTGGCACTGCGTAAGTCGATAGCATCAACCTTAACCCCAGTGTTGAAGAAGTTGAAGGGCCTGGAATTGCAAGTGGTATCAATAGACCCACTGAGTCCTGAGGTAGCAATGAGGGTGGCACAGACAAACAGAGCGAGTCCACCTCCGCCACAGAGACCTGTGGGCTCAAAGGTACCGAAAATGGCAGTGCCACAACTGTGTCCTTAGGTACTGAATGCAATGGCCAATGAATCCCTGATTCATCTTGTGGATCCTGTTTTGAGGCAGTTTCCAAGATGCAGAGTGACCCCTTTTCCCTTTCTGAGGGAAAATCAGGGTCCCAGGGTCTGTCTGCTCCCACTTCAGAGGCAGAAGGCAGCTAACTAGACTACAGGTACCACTACTACTAACTATCAAAGCTATTTACGAAGTGAAAAAAACTTGGTGACAAACAGAGGGAAAAAACCATGATGAAAAGCCTCACATGGCGAGATGCAACTAAGGCCACTGGCATAGGGTGACCAGACGTCCAGATTTTATCAGGATTGTCCTGATATTTGTTTGTCCCGCCTCCCGACCGATGTTCGGTCAGGACGCAAATTGTCCCGATATTTTGCGCTCCGGCGCACAAGCAGAGGGGGCTTGCGCCCCCCCCACCCCAACTCCGCCCTCTCCCTCCCCCATTGGATCCCTTCCCAAATTCCTGCCCTGGCCCCGCCCCCAGCCCCGCCCCCTCACTGACCCCCCATTGGATCCCTCCCCAAATCCCCACCCTGGCCCCGCCTCTTCCCCAAGCACACTGCATTCCTCCTCCTCACCCCTCCCTCCCAGGCTTGCACTAATCAGCTGTATGGCGGCGCAAGCACTGGAGTCGGGGGGAGAAGCAGGATGCGGCAGCCAGCTCAGGGGAGGTGGAGGCGGAGCAGAGGTGAGCTGGTGGGGGGGGGGCGCGCGGGGAGCTGCCAGTGGGTGCTCAGCCCCCACCAATTTTTCCTATGCTCCGGCTTTTCTTTCTTTTCTTTTTTTCCCCTCCGCCGCCGGCTCTTGTGGTTTGTTTGTTTTTTGCTCTGCTGGGGCGCGCACACACGCACACACACACACACACACACCCCGCGTCCCGATATTTCACATCTCTCATCTGGTCACCCGACACTGGCAGTAAGTAGTAACCGAGCGGGGTCAGGATGCCACATTACATAGCCTCAGGACAAGCCACAAGGAGACATAGGGTACGTGTACTGCCCAAACGAGTACTACTAAAGGAAAAACCTCTGATGTTGGTGCGTTTGGCACTACCACACCTGAGTGGAATACATGTCTGCAACCACTCAAAGAACTAACCAATCATACTTTCATCACAGAATTCTTGAACCAGTTCAAGTTTGCCCTGAACAGACTCAGTTGGACATCTGACTTTCCAAAAAAACAGCAGGCCTTTACAGAGGCCATGGAAATTGTTCTTCACAAATCAAAGCATTCGAGCACGTCTGCATTAGGGATTTTGTAGCCATGCAGCTGCACAGATGCAGCCTGATTAGGGCAATCCCCCAGCGAGCATGTTTCCCCATCTGTAAAATGGGGATAATGATACTGACCTCCTTTGAGATCTGCTGATGAAAAGAGCTAGGCATTATCATCACTCCTAGGGGTAAAGTAGCACCAGCACAAGCCTCGTTGTTAGCAGTGCAGTGCATCTACGCTGAGGGACAGCACTGGTCTAGCTACACCAGGGCAAAAACCCCTAATGTAATCAAGCTCTTAGCAAGCAGCGAAAGAACAGAAGGGTATCTAATTAAGAATACATACCAATGCAAAAAGACAGTATGCAATCAAAGTGGCAAAGAGATTTGTTTGCAATGTGCAATCATAATGAAATACAAAAGTGTCCAACACAAGGATGTGGTGACACATTTGTAGATTTTAAGGCCAGAAGAGATCATGTAGTCTGACCTCCTGCATATCACAGGATAAAGAACCTCATCCAATAATTTCTGCCTCAAACCCAGAATTTCTGTTTGAGCTAGACCATATCTGTCAAAAAGATTGCAGTTTTTGGGTCAAGACTGGATAATGATGGAGAATCTACCATCTCCCTAGGTAAAGAGTTCAAGATGCAATAAAAGCAAGCATTTTGCAAATGTGAATCACTCAGCTCACATTGCAAAAGAATTACAAGCATGAATACATACAGCAGGGGACATATCACCAATAATGATGCAGAAGGAGATCTTTATTGGGACTCAAATTTGGAAACCAAGAGAGTAATAGATTTACAGATTATAAGACCAGAAGGCACCACTGCGATCATCTTGTCTGATCTCCTGCATAACACAGGCCATCAGACATCCCTGAATTAATTGTACTGGTTTGTGAACAAGAGGTGAATTTACAAAGAGATGCTGGAGCTGGGCGCAATGTAAACAGCAAGCACAAGCAATCCCCACCACCACCCCCCACAATCCCCTTCCCCCCCATAAAACCCACTAGCAGCCACCTCAGGTTAGAATTTTTTTTTTTTTTTAAAAGCTATTTTGATAAAGTGGGCACAAAATAAGCCTATGTAGCAAAGCCACACTGACACGTTCTCGCAAGGACAGATGACTATAAGAGTTTGAAATAATGGAATAGGAAGTCCTATGAGTAACAACTTCTCTACTGCACAGGATGCATGAGAAAGAATCTGATTATGTGTTTAATGGACTACAATGCATTGAGAACAATCCATCACACTGTTATAGATAAAAATACAAAAATACACCACAAAAAGTCCCATTAGCAGTGACAAAGTAAAAGCTGAATTTTACTGGTAAAATAAGGTGTTTCTAATTAGATACTAACTGACTGAGTTAACAGTATGATCACTATAATAAAGCCACCATGCCATTAAACATAAGCACAACCCATGAGAACAACTGATGTCTAGACTTCAGAATGCAAGCGTCCCCTCTGTTATGGAGGCATGCCAAGGGTTTGGGAATAGGACCAGTTCGATATAGAAAGTGCAAAACTCTGCACCTCTCACTTTTTTGGTAGATATATGTTGAAGCGACTACCCTTCCCTTCCAGATTATTTCAGCACATGAAGTATGTATCAAAGCATCATATCCCATTTCTCCAAAACCACAGCCTATCAAGCGGACTAATCTTGTCTCATTGTTTCCTTGTGCTCCCACTGCCTGTCTGTTGCATCCACCTGTTCTCCCTTTTCTTATATTTAGAGAGTGTAAGCTTTGTGGGCCTGTGCTCTTGCTAAGTGTTTGTATGGTACCCTGGTTCACGACTAGGGCTCTTAAGCAATACGATAATTATTATTATTCACCTAATGAGCTGTACAGGGTGAAGTAATGGTGGATAAACTGCTGATTTGTCATCAAAAGAAGAACCACATAGCAGAACATTATACAGTCTATGTGCAAAACAACACCTTAAATTGAAAAAAATCTGGGGAGTAATATCAATTTCTGGCAATAAACCCATACTTTCTTATAGCGCAAGGCACACACTGAGGCAAAACCCATGTTATACAACAGTGCTATGTGACAACAGGTAGGAAAAAGAGAATAGACAAAGGCTCCTTCCTTGAATAGTGTGTGTGAGAGAGCAGCTGATAGAGGGATAACAACTAATGTGAAACAAAATTAATTTGTCACTAGTGAAGAGGAAATTTACCATAGGACAGCACTACCACACTGAGTTTCATTTGTTTCTAAAGCAAGGTACCACACAATTGCCAGATGACATTTTTCAAGCATTGTACCCTTTTATTTATTTATTTATTTATTTATTTAAGGAAAAATAGAACCAATAAAGCTCCTAAGTTTGGGCACCTTTTATAAATTCTTCTATGAAACTAGGCTGCAGGATCTGCCATGGTAGTTGCGTTATTCACAGGTGGAGATTTAGACTAGAACAGCACATCTATTCACAAGGCAGGTGATATTACAATACTTTCGAGGCTGTCCCTCATCAGTTTGCATAATGCCTTCAGGATCTACAGTAAACATTCAAGGGCAGAGAAAGAGCTACGGTTTTAAAGTCAGCACCCACCTGATGGCCATACGTTCCCGGTAATCCAGATCATAGCTCTGCATGGAGTCCATGCAGGAGTCCCGAGACACACCCTGCTGCTGCAGGCGAGAGGGCACAGTGAACTGGTGCACAGAGGCGTTGGGCTGGGAGATGGTGTGGTAAGGAGGAGGAATGCTGTTGCTGGTCTCACTGCGGTAGTCACTGTCTCTATCATCCACTGCACTATCGGGGTCTTCCAAGGCTAAGAAACAAACGTAGTTAGAGCACAACTCACCAATTCCACTCAGATGGGATAGCAGAGCCCATTTCACACTTCAAAGCAAAAAGTCTTAAGAGGCCTTTTCTGTAACGCTTGGGTCCTAAAAAGGCAATCCAGCATATGATCTCATGTTCTCTGAATTTATACTGAAGAATTCCCAGATTACCTTTCCTTCTCTCTCTCTCTCATTTGCCAGCTCCTCATAGACGAACATTTACTTTTTTTGTTTTCCCTTCAACCACTGCTAACAAATAGGAGTGTAAGATGCTTTTAATTTAGGAAACTTTCTTGGATTCCTTTACTACCGTTGCAAAAACCCTAATAAAAACAATTCAGTTGTCAGAGAAGTACAGTCCCCTGTGCGAAGTTGAGTCTGCACTGAGGATTTTATTTTACTCTCTCTCATCTAGTGACTGATTTTAAAAACCCAATCAAACCAGAGAAGCAGAAAAGGAAATCAATGAAAGCTTCTAACTTGCTTCCCCTTTACATGTTTACAATCACTGTATCACTCCTTTCAACATACTTTACGGGTATCAAAAATGTTTCATTTCTCTCAGGGACAGAGATTATTGAAAGGCTATCATATGCTTGTCAGTCAAGAGGAAAGTCAAAAATCAACTAGCAGAGTAACTCTGCAGTATACAAGTTATTTCTTCTTAGTGTTAAATGTAGCAATTACAAATTCCTGTAGCTACAGTTAATCGTCACATTTAGAAACTTTAAGAACTCAACACAAATGACTGCAGTGTAAATACCATCGCAACAAATAAGCTCCCTCTACATATTGCACCGCTCCCTTGAAAGGCATCGCAACTTCATAACCCTTCCAAAAGAGAAGAAAAATGAAAGTTCTAGTCTGACACCTTCCCCTTACATCTGTTCATGGCCTAAAAAATAAAGCTCCTACTAGGCCATGCAGTATGGCAACTTTATCTTTGCAAGTTTCCAGTCAATAAATAGAGAACAGTGATAAAGCAGGCGAAGTGCATTGCTAACATGCTTGAAATAAAGAAAAATCACAACCATCAGCCATTACTCCTCATGACCACCACTAGCACCAAAGCCTGAATAGAAAGGACAATCAAATCAAAGCGCTGTCTGAGAAGTTGATTCCGTACTTCATGCATGCCTCAATCAGCCAGCATCATAACAGAATGATTGGGCCTGAGCAAGGAAATAAAAGTACCGGTTGGTTTCTTCGTTTGCTTTCCCCATTTCTTTTACAAACCAATGGAAGTTTAATTCTGGAAATTCCAGACTGAAATTATCCACAGTAGATGGATACATGTTTTCCATTGAAGCTTTCATTTCTTTTGACTTAACAGTTTCTATTGTTTCATATAATTTAAGGTTTGCTATTACTGAAACAATCTGTTTCCCTTAATACAGTGTAAAGGTATAGTAATATCCTGAGACCGAAGAAAACAAAAACCACCTCCACTGGAGAAATCTCCTTCAAACAGGCTTTCTATTCATAAATCAAATCTAGTCAATTTGATTGTCTTCAATGAACATGCGTATAGTCTTCTGCTTCTTAATAGACTAATGCTGTGCAGTTCTTGTCAGTCTCCATTCATTAAACAAAAATGAATTGCTATTACGTTGAATTATGTGGATTCATTAAAAACAAAGAGGTGCCAATCTTGCACTCTAGTTGGAAAAGAAAAACTGGAACCCCATAAAATACAGTAACAGAGTAAGCATGCAGCAAAAACAAAAATATCAACAATTTCCCCCTTACGACACTCAGTCTTGGAAACCTTATCAACTTAGAAAAGGATTTTAAAACTGCTCACTCCTCAAAAACAACTACTGTGTAAAAATGAATGACCTGACGTGCAATGGTGCTGAGCATCCCTGACAAGTTAAGTCCTAAATCTTTGGGGCAGGGACTGTCATCTGTTTGCCCAGTACCTAGCACAATGGGGCCCCAACCGCCGAAGGATAACAGTGCTACTTTGAAGGTTGCATCACACTAAAACAATGGCACTGTTACTATACCCAATACTTATATTATGGAAGCATGTGTGTGTCTCACTCTATACTAACTTAATATTTGGGGTTCCCTCTGGCAACTACTTAATGTTTTTCTGCAAACCCCTCAATTTAGGGCATACTGAATAATGCAGAAATGGTGCCACATCCCTCAGTGCAGCATAACCCTTTCCAGTTAATGCCACTCAACCACCTCGCAATTATGCATTTGTATGGTCAGTCTTTCAAAGGACATTAGCTCACTACACATTGACTGTAGAGAATCCACCTTACAATACAAAGGGTAAAATTCTCCACTCTGAAGAGTTCCAATAAATATTCTGCTCTTCTGTAGCAATGGTGATGCACATTACATCTCAGTAAGGAAGCTCTCCCCCCAGAGAGAATCACAGCAGTAATTTAGTGTTGTTGTAGCCATGTCGGTCCCAAGGTATTAGAGACATAAGGTGAGTGAGATAATATCTTTTATTGGACCAACTTCTGTTGGTGAGAGAGACAAGCTTTCTAGCTCACAGAGCTCTTCAGCTCAAAAGCTTGTCTCCCTCCCCAACAGAAGTTGGTCCAATACAAGATATTACCTCACCCATCTTGTCTCTCTAAAAGCAGGAATTTAGCATTTGTAAAATTGTAGATTAAATGTATGCATTAATTATCCAAGTCGATAGAATATACAGTATTTATAACACGTGGCACCAGGATTTCTCTCTGTTATCATTAATGCACAACATGTGTAATCTCATGGGTGCCAAGTTAGAGCATGTTTTACTGATAGCAATTTTAAAGACTATGAGTCCATAACCCAGTGATAACAATGAGGCTACACTAAACACATACTGTATCTTTGATAAATGCCCTGAGCATCTGTAGTACATCTAGGGATGTTAACACCACTAGAAAGCAAGACTGGTGGCAAGTAACTAATAATTTATGGCCAGATTCTGGTTCACTTACTCATGTTGAATAGCACCTTCCTGCACACACAGCCCCACTTCAGCGCCTTGCTCCATGAATAGTTCCATGGACTAGTCAGTATGAGTAAAGATATCAACATCTGTCTCTTACACAGGCAGCAGCATGTTTTAATTTAGCAGAAGTGTTTAGTAAGATGCGGTGGTGGTGACACCAGTGCATTAATATTCGTTACTAAAAGGAATTTAATTCATCCTAAGAAGAGGAGGAGACTGACAACAACTTGCAGAAGCAGCTTTGCAGATACACTATCCATTCAATAGAAAGGACCAGGTATTAATACTTACTGTGTTTTAGCAAAATAATCTTCACACACAAAAATAGGAATGAGATGACTTACAGCATCTTCTGCCTGAGGATGCTGATGCTGTAAGTTTTCCCATTCCCGCTAAGCCATCTCACTAAGGTGGTTATACTTTCATGTAGTCTTTGAAAACCAATATGTTAGTAACTAAACATATAATGCTACACATTGGTAAAAAGACTTCAAGGAATTGGTTTAGGTAACTTCACATGCACCAAAAGCTCTCAGGGGATGCAAATAGTCTCTCAGTCTACAGTCCTACTGTCTAAAGGGGATAAACCTGAGGGAAAGGGAAGAGGCATGCTCTGCTCTGATAAATAACTGAATATTCATGCATACAGTCAACATATAGAATGAAAAGCTATTGGACAAAGTCACATCACACATAGGGATTGACAGAGTAAGGATCTAGAGCCTGAAAAGAAAAGCAAGACACAAGAGACAGTATACGTGTGAACTTTGGGGAACTGGCATATCCAATTCCAAATTCCCTATTTTCATCACTACAGTAATTCTGATGCAACTGCCACAGGGCAGAGAGCATTTAGTTATTTTTATACTGGTCTCGAAATAGTTTCCACTCATTGCTTCCCCAGCCATGTGAGTCGGGTTTATGTTTGGGCAAGTGTTTTTCTTTAAAAATCTTGTTTTCTGGGCGGCGGTTGACAGCACCACCATTACAGATTGCTTGAGAGTGAAACTGGCTATACAAATCCTCAACCCAGGGCCAACTGTGAAGGAGGGGCTTCTCCCAGAATAAGTTTAAACTGGTTTAGAATTGCCTGGTGGTTTAATGGCAATTTCTTGTGCTGTCCCTTGAGAGTTGGGATCCAGTTCCCAAGCTTGATCTCACTCCTAAGGATATCGCAAGCAGCGGTGAGAGCAATGCAGTGTGCCAAGTCCTAGGACAAGGGAGAGGAGGTAGAGTGCCTTGAATTCCGCTCCAATGACCTCACACCCCCTCACCAAAGAGGAAAGCCATTTAAATGATTCCAGCTTCCTTAAACCTTTAAGTGACTGTTGGGGAAAAGTGGAGGGTAAAGTGTGATGAATGAACAGGGACTGTTATAATCTAGTCTCACCTCCTGCATACAGAGGCCATAACTTCTTGCTGAATGAGACATCACTTTTACAAAAACATCCAGCTGGGCAAAAATATTTTCTCAAAGGAGAGTTAAAACTGATTGCATTGGTCACTTATGTTAAACTCATTTTTGGCTTTTAAGTACAATTTTCCAGGACATTAGTTTATACAGGCTATTTTACATCACTGGGCACTTAAAGGGACATCAGAAACTTGAAATCTTGTCAATTTGAAATAAATGAATTAACAGTTTCAGATATTTCACCTGCCACTGAGCCTCCAATTTGGGGGATTTTACAATCACATTTTCCTTTTTTAAAAATCCCTGTTGCTAAAAGAGCCACAGTAACCTGACTGACTATACAAGGAAAACAGTTAAGCTTACAATACACAAGGGGCTGCCAAAACACAATGAAAACAGAGATTACCTTTTTTCTAATCTTTCCATTATGATGATCCAGGTGTTAATTCTGGGTGGCATTTTAAAAGCAATCAGTGTTGGCCTAAGCCTGCCCCTACCAAATTCAGTGTTAAAATACCACTGACTTCAAGGGAAGTAGGGGCAGGCCAACACTGAGCACTCCTGAAAACCTCATCCTAGAACAATACATAAAATATTTTCAGAGA